ACACACACACACACACACTCTCTGTTTCTGTCTCTCTCTCTCTCTCACTCACTCTCTCTCTCTCTGTTTCTCTCTCTCTCCCACTCTCTCTCTCTCTCCCCATCTCTCTGTTTTTGTCTCTCTCTCTCTCTTTGTCTCTCTCTCTCTCTCTCTCTCTCTCTCTCTCACACACACACACACACATACACATACACACACACACACATACACACACACACACACACACACACTCTGTTTCTGTCTCTCTCTCTCTCTCTCACTCACTCTCTTTCTCTCTCTGTTTTTCTCTCACTCTCCCACTCTCTCTCTCTCTCCCCATCTCTCTGTTTTTGTCTCTCTCTCTCTCTCTCTCTCTTTCTCATGCGCGCGCGCGTTCGCTCTCGCTCGCTCGCTTGCTCATTCACTCGCTCGCTCTCTCACTCGCTTGCTCGTTCTCTCTCTCTCTCAGAGGCTTGCTTTCTCTCCTTCCCTCTCTTTCTCATTATCACACTCTCTCGCTCTCTCCCTCTCTCTCTCACTCTCTCACTCTCTCTCCTCTCTCTATCAATATGTCACTCTCTCTACGACTGTCTGCCTCCCTCCTCCTTCTCTCTCTCTCAGTACTCTGGAGAGATTTGCTAGAGTGACCGGCAGTCCGTGGAGAGACCTCCTCTCCCGGGCGTACCCCGGTTGTGAAAAGTTTTTGTGACTGGGAAGGGACTCAGCTAGTCCTCGTAGCAGGAATTTTAGTCCGTCATGCAATAGATGATGTTTTTTGAAAAACTGTTTTGAAAAACTTTTTTGAATTTTTTTTTTGTCAAAGCCTTTTTGAATTTTGAAGAGCGACGGAGATTCAGACTTGGAAATCATCCTTCGTACAAAGTTTTGTATCAAGATTTTCCGTATTTCTGTTGTGGTGAAAAAGCCAAGACCTGTCTGTTGAAACTCTGATGTCGCTTCCGAGTATACACAGTCGCGACTGTGTGATTTCGCTTTGTTGAATTTTATATGTTTTGTTAGTATTTCCTTGTATACTAGATTCGCGCGGAAGGTACTTCTTTACTAAGTTGGTCCGAAATGGTTTAGATTCAGTGTTAGACCGTTTACTAGATCGGCGTAGGGAGGAGCAGAGTTAGATTGAGCCCCGGTGTTAAGAAGAACAGAACCAGTTGTACCATAGATAGATCTGACCACCCGTTAGAAGGCATAGCAGAGGTATGGTTATCTATTCTGGGGTTGAAAATTTTGGAGGGAAAAAAGTGTTCACTTAGGCTCGGGGGAATCGCGTAACAAGTAGGAAGGCGGGAGAGACGTTAGCTAGGATGTTTTGAGAGATAAGAAAAACGTGAGTAAGAGTGACGAAAGGCAGTATATAAGGACGAAGGGAACGGATTCACCACACTTGGTTGTCGAGGGTTCGGTGGTGTAAGCAGTTAGGCCCCGTGATGAGTTCGCCTCCACACGAAGGAGACGAAACGCGTCGGGGCGACGCGTGAATGTGAGCAGACTTTTTTCAATCTTTAGTTTGGAATGCTCGATACCGTAATGTAATCACGACGAGTGTTTTCGGAGTTGGCTATGGTGCATCAACCGTTTTGGTGTGTCTATATCTTTCCTATCTGGCTCTCCTTCCATGTGTTTTCCCTCTTTGATCTCTCTTGGCGTGGTAACCGGAGTGTCGAGACATTTGCGCGGTGGCTACGTATGCTGTCCCTTGTGCTCCTGGGACATCGTGAGCGAGCGTTCGGATAGGCGATTCTCACCTTACGAAGGCTCGAGTGGATTACCCTATTGTGCTGTGATCCTTGACCTACGTCGGTGACGGAGAGGGTCAGGCGAGGCGCAATTTGTTTGGTTCTAAGAGGGTTTTGGTAGGAGACTGTGACGCAAGCGTGATCGTCTTCCCGAAGTCAGATATGCGTTTTTGAAAAACACCATGGTTGAAGTGGCTTAAGACCACGAGTATGCTAGTGGCAACTCTGATCTGTGGATGCGCACTAATCCAAGTGGCGAGCAGTTGTACGGACGGACGCTGTTGGTGCCTCGAAGCTCGGATCTTCGTTTCTCTCCAAAAGTGAGTAGTTGGGGATGTCGGGCAGGAACTTCCGGGATATCGAGTTAGATAGGCAGTGGCTAGCACTTCAGAAGTAAATACAGTACCGATTAACGCCTTTAGTTTTCGTTGCACTTGAGTTTCCAGACTCGACTACTAAGGAAGAGGTATATTCGGAGTTAAAAGATATTTTGGGAAGGGTATATAGCATAGGGTGTATTGTGAGAGATAGAAGGAGAAGGAGAAAGAGGGAGGAGCTGAGCAGGTCGGATGGCTAATCAACTACCCTTTAATGGAGTGCCGTAGCAGGGCTATGGCGCGGCTGCCCAACCAGGGGGAGTACCGTGCTATTTATGCGGGAAGTTTGGGCATTTCGCACGGAATTGCTGGAGTGCTGGGAATGGAAGGCCACAGGAAGCCCTGATCCAGGTTCCGGCGCAGAACGATGAAGAGACGAACGAGATGAAGGAGTATTTTAGAAAGAAGATACGCAAACAGAAGTCGGAAGAGGAAAGGAGGGAGAAGGAACTGGAGGACAGAAGGAAGCAGGAAGAAGAGGTGAGGAAAGAGGCTGATAGGCTGAGAGAGGCGGATGAGAGGGAGGCTCGTTTAGAGGCGAGACTAATCAGGTTTCTATCACAGCACAACAGGACGATTAGCAGTTATCCAATGCCAATCAAGAAGAAATCTCCAACGACAAAAGCGAGGGTGTTGAAAGAAATCACGAGTTATCTGGAGGAGTCCGAAGATGAAAGTGAGGAAGTTAAGCAGGAAGCGGGGAGGCTAATTGAAGCAATTGAGAAGAGGAAGGGCAAGAAGAGGAAGGAGAACAATGAAATGAGGGTATCAAGGGCACCGAAGATCGAGACTCGGCCAGCACCAATATTGGTCGAAGAACTAGCTGGCGAACTACGAACGCCTCCGAGTAACCGAGGAGCGAGAGAGATTTTGGATTATGCTTTGGATTTACATCGGAAGTTTCCAGCTAAGAAGGTGCCTGAGTTGAGAGATCTATGCAACTCGGAAGGCATCGAATGGACAAAGAGAGAGACAGCTATCGGGAAACTGGTGAAGTGCCGGATGAAGCTGGCATACGAAAGTGAAGCAGCTCGCCTCTCGCCGTTAGCTGAAAGGTGAGTAAGGAGGTATGGATTATGCGAGGACACTCAAAAATCTTTTGATAATGAGGGGGGAACGGTATAATGTACATCACCAGCCTCTGAATTTTGAGATTGAGGATGTTATCTCGAGGACCTTTCTGTTGGCAGTTATTGACGGGCAGTTTCCATAGGCGAAAAAATGGGTTAGTTGGGTCGAAGCCGAGGGTGGGGACGTGTCGGTCATAAGCTCAGGGGTATACGTACTAGTGAGTCCATGGTGCCGTCATACATATGTTGGATGCACGACACGGAGGATAGGAATGAGGTGGTTGGAACATATCAAACGTGCCACGGGAGGGGATTTCGGAAACGCACCTAAATTACACGCTTGGCTAAGATCATTCGGCTGGGAGAAGTATCTAGTTATGTCGGTAGCGGTAAAAGTTGCAGATCCTGTGAGTCTGGAGAAGATTCTCATTCGCAAGTATTTTCCTGCTCTGAACACACACGGGAGGAGGGAAGCAGGTGCGAAGAAAAGAAGGAGAGGTAAGAGGGAGAGGGGAAAGAGAGGGAGTTAAAAGCACCAGGGGAAGATGATTATGGGGGGTCTCGATTATTGATGCATTAAGAACTTTGAGCTCGGGCGAGAATCTGATATCTAGCGGCGGGAAAGTATGGGGGGATAGGTGGAAGATTGTGAGATCGAAAGTCGGAGAGAGTGTCATCGCGGTAGGAGGGACTAATAGAAGAATCAGAGATGTGAAGCATGATCTGGAGAAGGGAGGGATCTTTCGAGTGGTACGAATCCGGGGGATGTCTTCCAGCATCGAACATAGACGCTACATCCTACGAGATCTTTTGCGTCTTCCTTGGAGGATCAAGGAGATGTATAAGAAGAAGCCCGTGGAGCTATTAGCACTGTATAGGACAGCTGGTTTGTTCGGGCAATTAAAAACCCGGAACACACTGAAGAATATTCTAGCGAAGGTCGTACGCATGCGTTACAAGATTGAGATCAGGAGGAAACCGTATATCAAGTTACCTTTCTCTCTGAATGTGTGCAGTAGAGGAGTACGTGATCTAGCTTCATCGATCGTACGTAGATGCATCGGGGACACACATTTGGCATCCTTCGTCGCACAGAGGATACAGGTTGTGTTCAAGAAGAGGGTCTCAGTTTCCGCGCTTCTACACAACCAATGGATATGCGCTGGAGCAAGCCTTTGCTTTTGCACATGCACGGAGTACGACTTACCTCGATCTAGCGGCCATGTGAAGTCAAGGATGAATGACATACCTTGTTGCCCGTCCTTCCTGAAGAATTCTAGGAACGTCACCGCTGGTCATGAGCTATCAATCGGGCATTTGGAGCAGTGTGTCTTGACATCCCTGAAGACATGGATTCGAGGTAGTGTGGAGCATTTAGGGCGAGAAGATCTACTCCGGTGGCTGGTGAAGAGGGAGATGAAGAATCCTTAGGCTCTGACTTGTCGAGAAACATCTGCGTGGATTGACACCTTCGAGAGATTGGTGAGGGTTCCGATTGATCGCAATCCGGGGGCAACGCTGATAATATGCCCAGTTTTTTATATGCACGCATGCAGAGTGACGTTCAACTGGAACGAGAGCTTCCTGCCGATCCAGGAGTCGGAATCACAGATCCTGGCGAAGATGAAGATTGAGTATGTACGAAACGGTCTCGAAACAGCGGCGATGTGGGGGACAGGAGGAAAAATTGGGCAAGCATATGTCTTGCCTAAAGACAAGGATCTGGAGAGATGGAGACCGATCTCTCCAGCAGTTCATGATCCTGCTAGACTGGCCGGTGCAAGGGTGGGTCGCGCAATCASATACATGYTACTTGGGCTCAAAGATGAGTGTCATTTCRATCTCAGATCCACGGATCTTCTCCGCGGGAGATTTGGGCAGATACAGGGCGATCTAAGGGGTAAGGGATGTGATGTGTTAGCAAGAAGCTATGATATTAAGGATATGTTTGCTAAGTTGTCACACCAGGTGGTTCTCGACGCTGTTCGMTGGCTRATCGAGTACCACGTTGGCCGAGGCATGTTGGGAGTGAAGGTTAGTCGACRAGGGAAGATATGCTCTGTCGCGAGAGTAAGGAGGAAGCAGGAGGGATTCATACTCTTGACCTTTGGATTGATTGAGCGAGGCGTGGTCTATGAGTTAAATAACACTTATGTCCAACGCGTTGGAGAAATTCTGAAACAAGAATTCGAAATTCCGATGGGTCGCAGCTCGAGTCCGGCGCTGGCCTGCTTAGTCTGTGCCAAGGCAGAGAACAATTTTTCGAATGGGCTAGGAAGAGATGCCAATCTGGTAAGGGGTGTCAGAATGATTGACGACGTCGCGGTGTTTGTGGCATGCGATCTGCAGCAGGAGGTATCACGTGACAAGGCAAGTCATATTTTTGCGAAATTTGAAGATTGCTATAATCATAATTTGAAGTTGGTTAGGAAAGATGAGGGAAGTAATTCCTTTGATTTCCTAGGAACTAGGGTCGTGATTTCAATGGATCCCCTGATCTTCCATATCTTTCCCAGATCAAGGAACCAACTGAGCTTATTGAAGGAAGGTTGTGTTCGAATCCACTCAATGCAGAATTTCTCTTCATTCTCAAGAAAAGCAGTGACGAAAGTTACACTCTTTGCGAGTTTTCTGAGGTTCAGCAGACTCGCGATGACTGAAGAAGCTGCCTTAGCTGCAATCACGGCTACGGTGTCTGAATCACGCCTCCGGGGCTACCCCCCGGAGGTCTCTCTCAGTACTCTGGCGAGATTTGCTAGAGTGATCGGCGGTCCCATGGAGAGACCTCCTCTCCCGGGCGTACCCCGGTTGTGAAAAGTTTTTGTGACTGGGAAGGGACTCAGCTAGTCCTCGTAGCAGGAATTTTGGTCCGTCATGCAAAGGATGATGTTTTTTGCAAAACTTTTTCGAAAAACGTTTTTTTGGAAAGCTTTTTTGAATTTTTTTTTTGGGAAAGCCTTTTTGAATTTTGAAGACCGACGGAGATTCAGACTTGGAAATCGTCCTTTGTACAAAGTTTTCTTTCCAGATTTCCCGTATTTCTATTGTGGTGAAAAAGCGAAGACCTGTCTGTTGAAACTCCGATGTCGCTTCCGAGTATACACAGTCGGGACTGTGTGATTTCGCATTGTTGTATTTTATATGTTTTGTTAGTATTTCTTTGTATACTAGATTCACGCGGAAGGTACTTCTTTACTAAGTTGGTCCGAAATGGTTTAGATTAAGTGTTCGCCCGTTTACTAGATCGGAGTAGGGAGGAGCAGAGCTAGATTGAGCCCCTGTGTTTAGAAGAACAGAACCAGTAGTACCATAGATAGATCTGACCACCCGTCAGAAGGCATAGTAGAGGCATGGTTACCTATTCTGGGGTTGAAAATTTTGGAGGGAAAAAAGTGCTCACTTAGGCTCAGAGGAATCGCGTAACAAGTAGGAAGGCGGGAGAGACATTAGCTAGGATGTTTTGAGAGATAAGAGAAAAGCGAGTAAGAGTGACGAAAGGCAATATATAAGGACGAAGGGAACGGATCTCACTACACTTGGTCGTCGAGGGTTCAGTGGTGTAAGCAGTTAAGCCCCCTGATGAGTTCGCCTCCACACGCAGGCGACGAAATGCGTCGGGAAGACGCGTGAACGTAAGCAGACTTTTTTCGATCTTAATTTGGAATGCTCGATACCGTAATGTAATCACGACGAGTGTTTTCGGAGTTGACTATAGTGCATCAACCGTTTTGGTGTGTCTATCTCTTTCCTATCCGGCTCTCCTTCCATGTGTTTTCCCTCTTTGATCTCTCTCTCTCTCTTAGTCTCTCTCTCTCTCTCTCTCTCTCTCTCTCTCTCTCTCTCTCTCTCTCTCTCTCTCTGAATACGTATCTCTCTCTCACTCTCTCTCTCTCTCTCTCTTTCTGTCTCTCTCTCTCTCTTTGTCTTTGTCTCTCTCTCTCCGACTTTCT